ACAAACGGCCATGGGTGGAAGGTGGTTAAACTAAATATGTATGTTAATATGTATGTTAATTAGGCGTTTTTCTTACTTCTAGTATTATGGTTATAGTTAAAAATTGTAATGTTGTAGTTGGTGTACTAAAGGCAAATAGTCTGTTCACTTTGCAAGGGAATTTGCACTTTGCAGGAGAAGTTTCTCGTAGCTTGGTTAATGTCGTTAAAATTAACTACATATTGTATATTTTACCAAATACATTTTACCAGAATATCCAAGCATGTGCAAGGGAAATAAAAAAAACAGAATTTTTGCTTGCACTTTATAGGGTGGTGGAAGTCAGCAGAGCTTCGGCCCATTCACTAAAATAAGGTGAAAAATTCCTCTGTCAAGAGCAAATTCCCTTGCAAAGTAAACAGACTATTTGCCTTTAGTAAATCAACCCCATTGAAATTAATGCAATAAATATACAGTAAATCAAAGCATTCATCAATGCTCAATCAATGTTTTAAAGATCTTTGTAAATGAAATCAAATATCCAACTTTTTTATATTTGTCCCTTTATATAAAAGTACAATGTGCATTATAACATCATATATGGCGTGTCAAATGCATACATTCCTTCTAAAATGGCCCTTCTGATGAAATTGATCAATTTATTATGGGTACATGTGGTATTTCATTTATGAATGCATAATTGTCCTTTTAAAGCAATTACCAAGAGACTACAAATAAATACGACTGAATGCATGGCTTAGAAATTCTGTATTTTAATGTGTCTAATCATTATTCATTCTGCTATTTGAATTGTTACAATGATAACGAGTCAGCACATATTCAGGAATACTTTACAATGCTTCATGTACTTTCTTGCTTCAATTATAAGTTGCTTTTGGTTGAATGAAAAATTGCATGTGGTATTTTTTTTTTCTTTTCCTAGATAATCTTATTTTTTGGAGTTATGGCTAATTATAGCAATATATAAAGAAATACTAAACATTATGTAATTCAGCTTAATATCCTGTAGTGCCAGAAGCTTAGGTGTTAATCCAGAGCTAACTCTTTCCCCCACCCCACAACCCCTTCCTCTAAAATAAATTGTTACTGGTTAGCAAAAGAAGTTGTACTATTCATATTAATAACAATAGTGATATCTTTAACTTATGTTATCAAATTATACAGTTCTCAGACTTTCTACAGCATCTTACAGACTACAAAGATTTTCATATTGGTTTCTGTTTCCAAAGCTGCCATAGAGACAAGTGCCCACAATTTTATGCGGAAGTCTATTAACCTTATGGTATGATTTGGAAATGGGTAGGGTCCAGCTGATAAATCTGATGGTACTAAATCACAGTGGCTCAGTGGTTAGAACTTCTGCTTGGCAGGACTAAGGTGCCTAGTTTGAATTCAGGTTTTGTCTGCAGAGTTTCCATGTTTGTGTACATTTCCCCCCACACTGGCAGGTTAATTGCCCCTGTCTAAGTTGGCTCTAGTAGGTGTGCTTATGGCATAGGGACATTAGTTTGTAAGTTCATTGAGTGTAGGGACTAATGGAAATTGCTTTATTTTGGCTGTATTTTGAATATCACTCTGGAGAAGTTGCAACTATCCCCACACTTATGCGGTGAATGATTTCTAAAGTTTATACAGTATGTAATCACAGGAGTGATAGAGTAGGGCAATAATTGGATTTGAATGAGTATAGGCATCACCATTATCACAAACTGAGAATATCCTTTTACACATTTCAGTGAGCCGCACTGCTTCCACTTTATATGATTGTTTGGCGTTTTCAACATTCATTGGATTTTTGGGGGTTTACATTGATGCACTATCATGGTTACTTGTTTTAATTTAGTGCTGTCTATTTTTACTATCATTTGAAATACATTATTTAGCAGGTTATAGGATTAAAGCTCAACTCCAGACATTTTTCCTAATTTCAGAAAGAAGTGAGTAGAATTGTGGGAAGGTTAGTACCTCCATCCAGCTTATTGCTTTAGTGTTCCTGTTGGTTGTGTTTTTCTCTTACTACTTTTTCATATCATTCAACTTTTTAAGTTGAGAAAGAGGAAAACCTTCCAGCACTATATTTAGGCAATGAACACCCTCCTGCCAAGCCTCCAGTATCCACTATTTATATGACAAAAATGATTGGTTAAACCAGAATTGTTTTTTCTTTCACCATCACTTTTCAAAATAGTAAACAATATAATAAAGACATAAGTTAAGGATTTTAGTTTAGAATAACAATTTTGGTAGTTAAAAGTAGCTGTTTATAGATATTTGTACATCGGACTAAGAAGAGGGACAACTGAACAGGAATGAGGATCAGAGGGATTTGGTTCCAAATGAGGGACAGTTTTTCCAAGCACTGCAAGGAAGTCAGAAGGAGGAAGTCGGGAAGATTTCACTAAACAAAATTACTAAAAATTACTAAAATAGGGGAGGTGTAGAATCTCTAAAATATGTATTTCTATATGCACCTCCATTAGGGGATCTTTCTTGAATGCCTCTTCAAGTAAAATGCTACATGTTACAAATGGTCGCTGACAGCAACCTAGGGGACATGTTTTCAGGTAAGATACAGAAAAACTAAAAACCTGACTCATGCTTACTCACTCTAAACTCACCCTCATTTTGAAAACAAATTGATGAGAGTTGGGCTTTAAAATTAGAATTCTAGTAACATAGTAACATAGTATGTAAGGTTGACCAAGGTCCATCCAGTTCAACCTTGTATGTGAGTGTGTGTGTGTGTGTGTGTGTTTTTATCTTGCTCTAACACTTCCAATATACCTGTAGATTCTGCGAAAGAAGAAACTCACCTAGAAGTTTCTTGCATTTATCAATGTTATCAGCAGATACCACCGCCTGTGGTAGGGAAATCCAAATTTTCACTACTCTCACAGTGAAACACCCCTTGCAAATTCTGATATTAAACCACCTGTCTTCTAACCTCTTGTTGTGTCCCTGGGTTCTCGATACAGTTTTGGGATTAATCCGTTTTTTCGTAATATTGTGGTCCTCATTGATGATTTTGAAGACTGCAATAAAGTCCCCTCTCAATCGCTTCTTTTCTAAGGTACATAAGTTAAGATTTTGAATGCGGCCTTCATAACTCAGGCCTTCAATCTCATTAATTTTGTAGCCCTTCTCTGAACTCTCTCCAATTCCAGGATGTCCCTCCTGAGAGTCGGCAACCAGAACTGTACCGCATACTCAAGATGGGGCCGAACCAATGATTTATGAATTGGAAGTATTACTTTTTGATTCCTTGCTACAATTCCTCTCTTAATACACACCAATATCTTGTTATCTGTACTGGCTGCTGTTTGGCATTGCTTACTATTGCTAAATCTGTTGTCTATTTCTGACTTCCCTAATGTAGCACCCCCCAAGTAGTAGTTTCCATGTGCATAACCTTACATTTTTCAACATTAAATTGCATATGCCATCTTGTAACCCATGCCTCAATTTTGCTTAGGTCCTGTTGTAGTACAAATATCTTCTGTTCAGAATTTACTGCTTGATTTGCAGAGATTAGTATTGTCCGCAAAAAAACGATATTGAGCTATTTAGTCCAATCTCTATGTCATGGATGAATAAGGTGAACAGGATTGTTTCGTTTATGAATTAAACATGTGTGGGGTACTTTGCCGAATGCTTTAGCAAAGTCCAGATACACCACGTCTACTGGTATTCCTTTGTCTAATTTAGTACTTACTTCCTCATAAAATGTTAATAGATTGGTCTGACAAGAACGGTCCTTCATGGAACCATGTTGGTTACCACTTATGATACCAGTTTTATTTGTAAATTCCTGCATGTAGTCACACATGTCTTCAAATATATTACACACTATTGATGTTAAGCTGATGGGCTGGAAGTTACATGGTGCACTTATTTACCCTTTTTGAATATTGGTATTACATTTGTTTTCCTCCAATCAGCCTGGACCATTACCTGTCATTATACTGTCCACAAAAATGTTGTACAAGGGTGTGGCTATGACTTGACTAGCCTCGGATGGTCCTGGTGATTTGTTTAGATTTATTTTTTCTAATCTCTGTATTACTCTACTCTCCATTAGCTACAGACATGTGTTAAAACTGGCACTACTAACTCTGCAGCTGATGCCCTAATTGATGCTCATGTCTGCCTCGTCTGTAAAGACAGAACAAAATGCATTTAACATGTTCACTTTCTTACTGTCACTGGTAACCGACCTCCCCTCATCATCATATATGTGCCTATATGTTCCGTCAGTACCTTCTTATTATTTATATATTTAAAGAATTCCTTGGAGTTATTTTTGCTTACGAATGCTATGTGCATTAGTTTACACCTAGATCTCATAATAATTGCTTTTTTGTAAGTTGAAGTACTGTAACTGACTGCTTGGAAATTCCTGTGCAGCTGATGTTAGGATGAGACTCCTGTTACACTTTCCTGTAATTTGATACGCCGCCAGATTTTGCTCCAGAGATAATGGGGCAGCCAGGCACTGGTGGGAGATGGAGAGGTACCAGAGTCTCAGGACACAGGTAGAGTATGGGTAGAATGACTGCCCATTTAGCATGGGTGTGATAGAGGTGCAGAGTCCTAGGAGCACCAGGTATTCATCAGAGCCTCCCACAAGGGGGGATGGATTCTGCTGCAGGGCAGCTCCAAAGTTACAGGCCTCAAATACACTTGTGCAGGCTCAGCTGATAGAATACTGCAAAGGAAACATGTGGAACAGCTACAACACTGAGATTCAGGATATGATGACAGACAGGAGCGAAGTCTGTTTCAACAGAGCTAATCAGGGGTACAGGATACAGAGGTACTCAGCAGAGGGAGTCTATACATTAGGATGATTCAAGCTTTGCAGGTTCAAAGAAGAGAGTCGATAACAGCACTGCTGATCAGGGATACATGAAGGAATTGCAAATGTAGGTTTCTAACTTGTTCTAAATGTTTGAAATATTCTAAAATATAAATTCACTAAGCTTCCTCACTATTTTTTGTAGGTGAAGTTATAATCATACCCTGTAGAATCCTGCTTCACGTGTAGAAATCATAAGGAAGCCTCAGTCTGACGGCATGTTGGCACCTGCACAAACCGCATGTATCCGCCTTGTGTCCTGGTAAGAGATTAACCCTAATTCTAATGTGTATCATCAAATCATATTCAGCAGTTGTATTGACATGTAATTTCTCTGATCATTAACACTAATCAAGCAAAACAATTATGAATAAAGGGGCATTCCAGCAAAAAAGAACACACAAACCTGAAAATAATTGCATGAGTTGCATATAGGGAGCATAGCCTACCTGCTGCGTAGTTCAGTTTTAATCCAGACCGGATCAGCTATCCATTATGGTAGGTGCACAATCAATGGCTGCCAAAGCAGCACCTCCTGTGATAGGATCATCTCCTTTACAGAGATGATTGGTCCAAACCTGGCTTATAGCATACTGACAATGAGGTCAATTTATTAAAAAATATTAGAGGCTGTAGGGTTGATTTACTAAAGGCAAATAGGCTTTTCACCTTGCAAGGGAATTAGCACTTTGCAAGGACATTTTCGATTAGCAAATGTGATAAAGATTCACATTTCAAAGAAATCATGTGCAGGGAAAATGTAAAAACTAATTATTTTGCTTGCACGTGATTGGAAAATGGAAGTCAGCAGAGCTTCACTTCACTTAAACTAAGGGCAACGTGCAAATTCTTGTGCAAAGTGAACAGCCTATTTGCTTTTATTAAATCAACCCCTATTCATCTGGCAGAGAGATCATTTACTTTGTCTTATGAAAGTTAGTGAATGAGGTAAGTCCATATGTGTTTTGAATACCCAATCCTCACTACCTTTATTCAGTAAATGTGATGTAAAAAATGCCAGCAGAAAGAAGATTCTTACATGAACCAATTAGATTTACAGCTGCTATGAATGTTTAAATGTAATTGGCCTTGCAGGAAGTAGAGAAGAAATAAAACGGCACAGGCTCCTCCTACTGACTCAGTATGTTGAATGTGTGTTTTAGATGCAGGGGACTCCAGCAAACTCAGATTAAACAGACCCTCTCACCAACTTAAAAAAATGCAGCAAACAGCAAAAGAAAAAACAAGTATTTTATATGCTTACTTGTAACAATTTTCTTTTCTTAATGATTATTTAATTTGCTAGCAAATTTGACTTATTTGGGAAAAGTCAGTTCCCTATCACAGCCCCCTCCCTCCTGTCATATAATAGCCCTCTCCCCTTCTAGGAGTGTCTAATTTCTGTCTGTGCTGGCTGAACCTCTCGGTCCCTCTTTTATCCCCCTGCATAATCTTTTATGTAGCTTGGGGTGAGGAGTGAAAGGAAAATACTATAGATTGTCACTTGAGCTTGCTGGGGCTGCTGTTATCACATGCATGATGTCGGCACTCAGCAGCAGTCTCAAGCCTTTTGGATGTCTACAGGGAGCATTTAACAGGTAAATAACATGCATCAACTACATTAAATGCACATATACTTTTATAGTAAGATTATTCTTTTCATTAATGATGTGATAACAGTGTCACTTTAAGAAACCTTCCGTGAATTTATTGATTTTAGCAAAGTTGCAGTGTATACTTGATAGCATTAGTATCTCACTAATTGCTTTCACATTCTGACTAAAATTTATTAAATTGAAATCTTAAATAATCATGTGATGCAAGGAAAAATACAACTAACTCATTAAAATAATTTTTTTATTTGGATTGAGCAAGACCAATAAAAGGTGCATGTAACAGTGCAAGCAATATATGTATGTAACAGACCAAGTAAGGATTGACTGTAAAAACCGTTAGGAGCAGATGGAAATTGTTGTGGAATACATTTTTAAAATAGAAATGTAAATTGATTATATTGTAAAAATAAAATCATGTTCTATGTTAATTAAAAGGAATTGATAAAAGGAATCCTAAAACTGTATGTAGGCTGCAGTTTGGCTGCCTACCACTCCTGAAACTTTTAGTTGCTTAGTTGTCAAATTGATTTAAAGGATTCTGTGCTTTCTGAATTACAAATCTAGAATATATAGGCATATCTGGAGTTTTTACTTCATTTCACACATGCTTGGCATTTATAAGTGACTCAAAAAGCCTTAAATCTAGAGAAGGCCAGACAACTAGCATTTTCCAAAGGAGGTCAGCAATGTCACATATTTCTTTCATCACACTTTTCCTTAAAGAAGAACTCCAGGAAAAAAAGGTATTAACCCCTTGAAGTGGGATTACAACTGCACTGCAAGGGTTAAGTGCTAGTTTTTGTCTAGGTTAAAAAAATAACAAAGTTATACTCACCCGAAGCTCAAAGCTGGCCAGCTGTCACAGTGCTCTCGTCTGCCTGTCTCCTCCTACACTGCAGCATTGTAATGTTCTTTGGCATCCTCATGTCAAATACACATTGTGTAGTGTAAGTTCAGTGTCACATTGCTTTTATATATGTCAGCAAGCAACATAGGTGTAACTACAGCCATAGCAGACCTTGCTGTTGCTTTTGGGTCCATAAGCATTGTCTGGCTTTACAATGATTTATGCAAATAGTGATAGCACTCAGCAAATATATTTGATTACCATGTTTTAGCTTCAGAACCTCTGGACAACTGCTTCTTCTGTATTCTGTAGAGGAAGGTGGGTCCATTATTGGTGTTGGTATGGGACTTTTTCTAACTTTGACACAAGTCAGCTACATACAGTTTAACATACAGCTAGGCAGTCATTAAGAGTTGCTTACATTTCAACTACTGTTTCTGCTAGATGCCAACTTCATTTTGATTTCCTAAGCAAATATATGCTGGGAGAGAAGACCTACACAGGGAACATTTGAGTCTTCTCTGTTACCAGAATAAAAAAACAAATATTTAGGTGTTTTAGATATGGGCACTTGCAAATGAGCCCGATAAAATGTAATTACTCTTTGCTCTTCACTAAATGGAGCCTGCCAGAACAGATATATGGTATCTTCTATTACTGATTTGTTTTCAAATATTTAATATTTTTATTTTTCATAGCACAATAAAAATAAAGAAAGACAAAATGAGTGTAACCTTTTTAACATACTTTATATTGTTTTTCATAGAAGTATAAAGGGCTAATGATTTAAAAAGAAGATTTAATGTTTAGGTGGATACCACTGGCTGAATTGGCAACGTAGATGTGAACAAACTTCCTTTAACTAAGCTTTTAGATAGAATTTTAAATTATTTACGTACGCACATATCACAAACACAATGTACAGATAAAATATAATTGGAGGAGCTGTAAAGTCATTCAGAATTGTTATCAGTAGTACCATATAGGTTAAGAGATAAATTGCCTACTCTGCATCTATGGTGCAGTGCAAAAAAGGCTAGTAGACCATCTGCTTAGATGTTCTATTTAAAGCCATGTTAATTAATAAGAGTGCCATGTTGAAAAATGTGAGCAGAAAATAGCAGAGGTCCCTGAACAAAGCAAAATCTACTAATCAGTGAATTTTTTAACAATAGAAAATTTTGATTGCACAAGGTTTACTGAGAACATATAATTAGAGTGTTTTAGCATTACCATTTTATAGCAACCAGTGGCTTTTGTACCTCAGGGGTTACTTCTGGCAGGTTCATGAGGTAAACTTCAGTAATCTTTATAATAACAGTGTACACCTTTTGCCAACAGCAATACATGTTTTAAAAATACAAGTAAGTTTAATAAGAAAAATAAATGGAGTTTAAAAATATAAGGTTTATTTATAAATATTTATACAGAATTAGGTAAAAGCGATAAATAATGTATCAAGGGGGTTCTTGAGATAAGCTAAACACCATGGGGTATTTGGCAAACACTATCTTTCAAAAAAGAGTTAATAGTTTTAAAACATATAAGAAACAGAGGTATATAGCACGGATCATATACAAGTACAAAAGTGACATTAAAAAAAACACCAGCTACATGGTTACCTAATAGATGTTGGTGTCTTTTTAGCTGACACATTATTTCTCAAATCCACATTTTGTATGACAAGTAAGTAGTTGAGGAAAGAATGCATGCAGCAGAAGATACAACAGAAGATTAGCTCACAATTATAGACTGGAATAAGACACTGTGGGCCTAAAGTATTTGTGAACACAGTGAATTAAAAGGGTATTGTAATACAGCAAATAATATTACAGGGGTCAATACACATTGATTTTCTTAAAAAAATAATAGATTTTTACCTTTTTAAAAATCGTTTATTTGGTCACAGTCTCAATATGCCCCTCTTCACCATAAAGCAGGGCGTGTCTGTTTAAGGCAAGGGTGGGGAACCTCCGGCCCTCCAGCTTTGATGAAACTACATATACCATAAAGCATTGCAAGATTTCCACAGCCACAGACATGACTCCCAGAGAAAGATGAATCATGGGATTTGTAGTTTCACCACAGCTGGAGGGCAAAAGGTTCGCCACCCCTGGTTTTGGGGAGGGACTTTTTTTACACACACTGAGTGGCTTACATCACACAAAACAGGTGGGTGAGTGGTTGGGCAGTGTCACTTCGCACCATAGATAGGATTATGGGATATAATAATTAGGGAATAAAAATATTAGATACTAAAGTTGTCTGGAAGCAGGGGGTGTTACCTCTACTCGGGGACCACGGGCACGGCGCAGGGCACGGGTTCCCCTTCAGCTCGGTAGAACACCTGGTGCCCAGGGTGCAGGTGCGCATGCGCGAGTCATGCGGCGTGGGCGCATGCGCAGTACACAGGCTGCGCGCGCGCCCCTGGGAGCATAGCGTTCCTGCATCATCTGGCTATCAGGTGTGAGCCTTGCTGGGGGAGGTTCCCAGTACACACCTTCATCTTCCTCGCCTGCCATTGGTTCCCGGGGAGGGAGGCCTCCTGGTTGCCTCGGTGACCAGGGGGTGGTCCTACCTCCCCTGGCTATAAAAACCTGGCCTGAGCTCTGGCTTATTGCTGAGTTATTCCACCTTATGGTGAACACCTAGCCTCCCTGCTGATCCTGCTATTGCCATTGCCCCTGTGTATCCTTCCCGATTACCGACCCTTGGACCGTCTTCCGCCTTTGAACCTTCGCTGCCTGCCTCGACCCGGATTGGACATTTGACTACCCCTCTTGGATTATCCCTAAACTT